ATTTTTGTTTTATTTTGTGAGTGTATATTGCACTGGAAAGGAAAAAAAACCTGCACGAGAAACTACATTCAGCCCACGATGTGTTGTGCGGAAGTGCTAGTCGATGACGGTGTGTCATCATCGTTTGCTAATGTTTACCGAAGGGCTGTTTGCTCACGTAAACAATGCAGACTGCCGTGTGCCCGCAGGTCGCTCAGGCTCTTGGGGAACTGCTTTTGAAAGCATACCGAGACAGCAACTTCCCGGCGATTGATTCCATCCGTCGCATGACACGATGCATGGAAATGAAAAACGCCACTACAGCCCACGCAGAGGCCCTTGCTCTCCAGGTGAAATTTTCGTGCCTTAGATCTTCGAAGTGGTGTACTTCGTAGCCTATACAAGGCGTTTTGTTTTATATTTCTGCTGATACATGGCATGACATAACGTTAGTACAGCGAAGAACGATGGTATGAACTATTCAGAAACATGTGATAACGATTTTTATATTTGGGATATTATTGGACATTCTAGAAGCAATACTGTGAGTCCCCATATTTGGAAAGCAGTCATCTTAGAGATTTTGCACAAAAAAAGAGGGGAAAAAAAGCGGGGACCGGAAGAAGGGACACAAGGACGTGGGCAGTCTAACAACCGATTTATTTACCAACAACATTGACCCAGCACATCTTCGATTTTTGTATACTTATCCATGGTGTTCACGGGCACACGTGGAAAAGAACAGATTACATGCCTTAAAGTAATGATGACAACAGCGCACAAGTTCTTTTCGTACGCGCATGGTTTATCCCACATAATGAAAAAAGGTGGTTGTAAGGTAAGATGTAGTTAATCTGTTGTTCTCGGCCAAAAAATAAATCGGAGGAGTGCGTTTTTAGATAATGAAATTTAAGAAACAACAAATATGTACAATATCAATGATATGTAACAGGCAGTCATGGCAACGAAACATATGGAATTGCGCTTGTAGTGTCCTCTTCTTGTCTCCTCCATAACGTCTTCTTTTCTCAGCAACTGTAGCGTGATATCACAGTCGTGAAACGTATGGGATGTTACTGTACGTAATTTTAGTGTAAATGTGACAAAAAAGTGGATGAAAAGATGACTTGCCGGAAGCTACCCCCCCCCCCCCTTATCCACTTTATGGGGTATATATGTGCAGTAAACGTGGGGGCATCAGTCAGCGCCACTTGCAGCCACGACGGCGAGTGTCCTACACTCATTGTCTGTCTGGCGCCACGTGGCATGTGAAGTTATTACTATCTGTCAGCTTACCAATAGTACCGTGTATACCTGATGGCCCCAAGTGTGCCATAGTGAGACCCTCGCTATGAATGAAGCAAAGTGTACATTTAAGGGCTCGTGTCTAATGTTTCCTTGTCAGGCCACTGTTGACCACTTCAACGGATTACTTTACAATGTAATAAAACATGAATTTAATTTTTCATGTGTGCCCCTCCCCCTTTTGTAATACTCCCTTCAGTGGGGTCATTAAGGAATAAAACTCAAATGAAATGAAGTCACGCCCCACCGAGTATACCAAGAGTGCCGCCTACTGTCGCTCGGGTCGACACTATGAGGGCGTAGATACTGCACTCTGCCCTTTGGCACTAAGGAATCCTTCCTTGACAGGTTAAGGTCATTGGGGCACACTCGCAGAAGTCTTGGCTCTTGCAAGAGTCCACTGTCCCGAAGAACCTCACCACTCGCTAAGCGTGGACGGGTCGTCATCCAACCTGGTCTCCTCTATCTCTCCGACACCGGACGTATCAGCTGGGACGGAGACAAGAGCTGGAACAAACAAATGCATGCCCACGTCTGGTTGCTTGGTCGAATTATACATAACTGCAAACCGATTGTCTTGTTGTGTTTACTCAGCGAGTTCACACTCTAGCCAAATGTCCTCGTTTAATAATACTTTATAACGTATACTATACATAGGAAATTAGTCACTATAACATTCGTCTGAGCTTTAATTTAGTATAGTGAACTGAAGCGAACGTTCGCCGGGGTATTATTGGCGTGAGCTAAAATGCTATTCATTCGCAACGATTGAAATAATCGCAAATTCTACCATGTCGCACGCCACGTGCAGGTGTTGTCCTTCAGCGTGCTGTACGACGCCTACAGGGCCGCTGGCGAGGCGCGAGACCGGCGGCTTGTGGGCTTCGAGAAGCTCACGCCGGCGCAACTCTTCTTCGTGGCGGCCTGCTACGCCCGGTGTCCCGGTGGAGCCCACGTCTCCAACAGCCCGGCACTGCCACTGACGGACGCGCCTTACGAACCCGACTGCGATGACCTCCTTCAGCGTACGGCTCAGTTCGCCAACGCCTTCGAGTGCGACCAGCAGGACTCTACCAAAGCCGGCGACGAGTGCGAGCTTTCGCCTGTGTAACGCTGAAGTGCCTTCCCTGTGCAGTTCAAGCACAGCCAGTGCTGTAATGGGGTCCACTTGTAATGTGTAGCCATTGTGTGGCCATTGACGGACTGGGATAACCGTGACCACTCGATATTAGTTTTGACAGGGTCTATAATACGATAGGCGTTTGGAATCGGAAGAGGGGGTATGACACACCTGACATTTCGTGTACGCCCTGACATCCGATTCTCATTGAGGTAGAACGTCAAGCACGTCTACATTTAGCTGAGCTTTACTGTACAAATGATAACAATTTGTATTTTATTGCGGCTTCGTTGAGTAAAATATTGTATTCCAACCTATAACTGCCCATGTCTATGGACTACTTCCTCGGCTTCGAAACTGATGATAAAATGCCCTGGTTAGGTTCTGTAGTGAAAAATTGGCCCCGTATCAGCATTTAATCTGTAAATGTCGTCGAAGATGATTCTTGCGTGTGGAGAGAGTGAACAAAACATTTATTCGATGTTTTCCTCAAGAAAATTGGTGAATGGTATTCTGAACGCGCTGCGTTAGAGTGCCTCGAGCGTGCAGCGGAGGTGAACGAGCGCATGAAGTCACGTCACACGTGACACATGAGCACCATCTGGCAGTTTTTTTTTTCAAAGCGCGTGGCTCTTAGACGGGTGTGCGTGCCTGCCTCAGAGGTGATAAGGTGTAGAACGCAAGGCGATGGGTAGATGCCACCACCGTCTCGTTTTAACAAAGCGTTCGAAACAATCGCCTTTCCGAGCAAGCGGTAGTTAGCACAGCGTGATAAGCGCTACGGTCCTTAAAATTACATATGTATGCCTTTTCTAGTAAAAGGCGCACACGCAGAATATATACGTGTTGTTATGGTGCCCCACACACGCGCAATAATTGTTTTTTAACCTACAACTGGACAAGTATAAACGCTGGAACTTGAGCAATATAGGCGGGCTCTCTGGAAGGGGTTGGCCGTTTCAAATACCCGATACTGTTAGGAGTGGACAAACAGACAAATGTACAGACAGACAGACAGACACGGACGGACGGACGGACGGACAGTTGGGCAGACGGACGAACGGACGGACAGTTGGACAGACGGACGAACGGACGGACGGACAGACAGACAGACAGACAGACCAAAATGTTTGCGTCAAAGGTCCCCAAGGAAGACTATCGTCTTTCAAAAAGAATAATGCGCAAGAAGACGGGGACGCTGTAGGCACACACCTTTGGTTGGTTTCCCTTCTTTACTCTGTGGGCACAACGAGCAGATATACGAGTAAAGTACTGCCCGTGTGTCTGTGTTCTGTACCGTCGTGCTCAGCAGCCCATGAAATGCAATCTTTTCATAAATATAGAAGAATAAATAATAACTTGCGCACGTATAGGCAACTGCGGCAGTGTCTTTATAGAACGACAGTTTAAGTAGGTTAATTCTGTGCTTTCCGAGAACATATGTCTATATTTCTGTCGTGAACGTTTGTGGGCACCTTCCTTCGAAGATATCTATGTGACTACAAGGTGTGCCGGTGTAAATATTGTTGCTACACCGCATGGCACTACATCACAATGCTCAGCATCGCTAGATGAACACGATATCAACTTCACAGCATACGTACAGCAACATGCCGTATAGGAGCACCGAAGTGGGCAACTGAATGGTATATATAATGAAATATTTATGTATAGAAGTGTATAAATATGAATTGTGAAACACTTACACGCTGATAAAACACAAGCCAAGAGGACCAGACGTGAAAATTCACTCACTGCAAATAAAAAACTCTTGACGGAACTAGACAGACCAGTGCACATTCAACGTCGGAGAGCACCAAAAAGCATTAAACATGGTAGTTGTCTCGAACATGCCAGTCATTTCGCAGCGGCTGAAGAAGATCACGGCTTTGTCGAACTTCCATGCATTTTAGCCAGGGCACAAATTGGTTTCTCTGAATATTGAATGAATGAAAAAGCTTTTCGGTGCTTACACCAGAAAGAAATTATCCCCTCTTACATTCGCCCCTTGCCGCTAGGCCCCCGGTAACGAGCTGCAGCTGCTGTTCCGGACCGTGTGCCCTGTTTGTAGGCACTTCAAAGTTTGAAAGTGGGGTGACGTGGTAGTTTTTTTATATTGTATTTTACACACTGCATTGTTTCTTGCAAGGGACGGTGTATTGCGTTTCAATTCACTACAGTCCCGAAAGTGAAATATTGAAGAATGTCGTTGAACATTGGTTAGTTCATGCAATCGACGCTTTCTGTGTGTTGTTTCGCACTGCAGAACAGTGCGACATCACCGAACAACCTATTACCGACTAGTTCAATTTGACTAGTAACGAATTATACTAACAACTGTTTACAACAGGTGCGGCTGGTAGTTACCCTTCTAAGTGCAAGTTTCGCAAGCTGAAACCTCCCAGTTTGTAAGCATGTTTTTTATTGGTTTCTTGTGCATTATACGTCACTTCGGAGACAGCTTTTTTCCGTAGTGTGGCGCTACTGGTGGTCGAGTTGGGAAAAACTTGCACGGGAAGCAGTGACAGGGTTCAAGTGACGTTCGCTTGTTACGCACTCCAAGCTTGTCTCTTTTTGCCGTCACCTGAGTGGTGTTTATCGTTTTGTTCCGTAACAGCCTACGTTTTGTTCTTTCGATGAAGCATTGTCACCTGCCCTTGTCACGGTGGCTTTTCGTACCACCCGTTTTTTTCTGTTGAGTGTCAGCGCGTCGTGGCTGTGTCGCGTCAGGCCTCGAGCTGCAATGCCTTCCCGTCTCGCGAACGGTCTCTACACAATGGCGGTCGACTCGTGAAATGTCGGGAATGTGAGTACGCTACGTTCCAATAATTTTGCTAACATGCTTTCTGGACGACTAACACGCGGAATTTTCGTTGACATTTTCTGCCACTTTTATATTATGAGAGAGTATTCAGAAGTAACTCGTAGTTTGCTCATCAGCTTGGTCGTTTTTCTGTCGAATCTATATCTAAAGATTTTAGGGCAACCCTTGGTGACACGGTTTACGGGCACACCTGTGAGGCTGGAGTACCAATATGTTAAATAAAAGGTGAAGATCGCTTTATATGTTCACTTTACAGCGATTTAATTGAAGCGCCAGTGAGGGCGTGCAAATTAGGTGTGCCAAGTTATGTGATATATCAAAGGTTTTCATTTGCAAATAAAAATTAAGTAAAGCTATTCGTTAAGGCTGTATTGTAATATTCTTGATAGGCTACCGTTGAGCAGTGCTCCAGCACAAACAAAACGACAGCACAAAATCAGCGTGTCAGCACGGACACACCACATGAAAAATGTCTGCACTTCTATAGGGCTTGTTAGAAACGCAATGACCTTAACAAGTGTGTTTTGTATTTTCAGCTGAGAACTTGTAGCTTAGACAGTTGATTGAATTTTATTTGACCGTACTAAAAGGCAACATACACAATACGGTGGTAGAAAAAGACATGATTTGTCAAATGGTAATGTAAATTAGACAATTCCATGCAGATTTATGGTTATCAAATGGCGCCGCAGAGCAAGGCGAGAACGCACTTATATGTATGTCCTTTTATGTTCTATGTAAAAATGCTTGAATTGCATTGCACTTCACACTGAACCTGATGTAGAACACTAAATACCTTAATTGCTTTTTAATTTCTGCTGTCGCCATTCTCTGTTAATGACAAGCCACTTATCTCTATTGATGTTTTCTGTATAACTATTATCGACGATACTACTCAGCGTGTTAGTGTTGGCAGAGTGCGCTGTTGACGCGCATCTATTTTCCTGCATTCTTTTCTTTTCATGCCGCTCACAAACGCTAGTAATACGGTTAGTTGCTGAAGCGTCGTGGGCTCGAAAAAAAGAAAGAAAAAAGCGTTTCGCGAAATGTGTGGCATGAAATGAAGGCGCGATGCAGACACATAGTTTACTCGTAGCTCAAGCATTTACTGTCAAGAAAAAAATAAACATAGCATACCCATCACGTGATATCAGTGTTTTAGAAAAAAAAAAACATGGAAACATGTAAACACTGTTTCCATCTCATTTCACACGCATGTGTCCATAGACACAAGCGTGTGATAGCATTCTGGAAAGGATTAAAACGCTACCAGTTGAGACAACACGTGTCCATATAAATATGCAAAAAAAAAAAAAACTCGGAACGCTATATTATCCCCAATCATATCGTGCCATGCCCTTTTAGAACATTTAGCATCCGCTGCAGTTATCTTGAGAACGCATGTACGTATGTCACGAATATGCAATAATAATAAAAATGAAGCAATAATATCATCTCGGGTTTTAAGCTCGAAACCCACGATGTGATCATGAGAAATGCCCTAGTGGCGGGCTCTTGAAGTTACGACCACACGGTGTTTTTTTAAGTTCTGAGACACGCAGCTGACGAGCCTCTACTATTCCGCTTCTGAGTCAGCACGACTATACGGTATCCAGGAACTTTTTTTGGGACGGCCGGGGTGGGGAGGCCAACGTTACTTTATATATGCCCGTGGATGCATTTCAAGGTGTGCGTTTCTCTACACACATGTGGGAATCGCCGGGAATTCACCCTCTGACAGATCAAATGTCGGAGGCATTCATAAAAAAACAAAAGCCCTAGCTCGCACATTACGCCATGCCGCATGTGGTGTGGAAGCTTGTCTCGCAATTGATGAGGTCGATAACACTGCCAACAGCACAAAGAAACGTTGGCGTACGAGCACAGGTGCGAAAGTTAGCCGTGAGTTGGTTCGCGTGGCGTGATATTCCCTTCGTTTCTCGGTATCTTAACAGGAGGCTACGTTATTATTGTAATCTTTTTTACAGACGAATTATCATTGCTGTTGGGGGAGTCGCCTTGTAACATGCGTTCGAACACGCAATAATATAATTTTCGTTTTTGCTTGTGTGTGCTGCTAGTGTCATTTGGGCTCACGCAATCAGATGCAACAGGGGTGGCCGTTATTCTCATTAACTGATTAGCAATAAATCATCCACCATTGAAGCTAATAATTTATGGGTCAATCAGTATCGATAAGTTTTTTCATTGAATAATCAGTTAATTGACAATTTTAGCAAGCACATTACAAAGGTTTCAATTATTTGTTATACCGACGCTATCTATTGCCATGGAGGGTTAAACTGATATGAAAAACTTGACTGCAAAATGGTTTTGTAAACTGTGTTTACTTTGCCAAATACAACCTATATGAGACGCTAACGTATAGTCAAGCAACAAATGAGATCGGGTGTAAAAAGAAACAAGGAAAAAATTCGAGAGATAACGGATACTTGTAATGAAATATCGTAGCATATTGAAGTCTTGCTGGGCGTTATAGAACAGCCGATGCCGTTAAAACAAGCCGCGCCTATGAAAACCAAAGCGTTGGGCGCCTCATCGACCGTGCAAGTTGACCGTCAGCGTAGACGGTGTCAACACAAAAGATGCTAAAACTCATTACCACATGTTGAAGTCGTCATTATACTGCACAGATGACGAAGATGTCTGAAATCGTGATGGCGTTACTACGACTGTGCTTTTATAATGCAGAGTAAAACACGGACAGAGACGTGATTGCTTACGCACAGGCGCTAACTTGAAACAACGTTTATTCAACCAAGAAATATGGTAATATGAGTAAAATATGTAACCGATGTATATAGTTGTCTGTTGCTGATGTGTAAATGTATATGCCACTGATGCAGACTGTTTTAGTTAATAGGGGGTGAGACCTCGTCAGGATTTTAGCCTTTAGTCTATGCCTCCCGCAGAGAAATTCTGCATTTTTTTCTGTAAAGCAACAATGTTGAATGTTGAATTCCGGAAACAGGTAACATTGCTCTACGACCATCATGAAAACACACTTCACAATTCACCTATGTTTACGCAGATAGCCTAAGTCCTAAAAGGAAAGCACAATCGGTGGTTTAGAAGTACACTCAACTGCTAGCCTCTAAATAATAAGTGCGTGCACCGTTTTCATGAGGGTTCAGTTGTCAGTACCAGCAGAGGTCAGCTTACCCGCAAAATAATCGAAGCCGACATAATTGATAGACTCGCAGATAACTGAACTTCTAAACTGTCGATTGCCCTCATCTGTAAGATGTTAGCCTATCTACGTACAGATTGGCGAATTCGCAAGGGGCGTGTAATCATGATGGATGTATAGCGATGTTTCCTATGCACATATGTGGTTCCCTGTTTCCTGGACAAATAATGCTGCAAGTTAGCACCTGTGTGTTTCACGCCTTTCTCTCTCCGTATTTTTTTGTGTGGTATCATAGTACAGCACGGCAGGTCAACACGTCCAAAACACTAAGTTACTAAGTTACTGTCACGTAATTACATAACCTCGTCGTAAGATCAGATGTGGATCTATTGGGGAGCAAAATCTTGATAGATAGCATTCGGAAGTGGGTGGTGGAGCATTAGTACATCGGCAGAGAAGCAAGCAGAAGCGCACGGCTGCTGTTTTTGAGTCGTCTTTGGCGAATGTGACACTGACACTCTTCTTACACAGGCAAGTTAACTGCGTTAACGACACACCACGTTTATCTGCGGTTAGCGCACACCACGGTTCGCTAATGTTACACAGCGCAAAATCGTCCTCGTTCGTGGCGCCTAACGAAGGCTCGTTAGTGCATACCCCCTTCCTGTCATATCAATGTATAGCGCTAATTTTACGTACCCCCACCCTAGCGCATGCTTATGGCTGCCTTTGCAAGACGGGTCTCAGCTCGTTTGTGATTGGTGGTATGCCCTTGTCGCATGGTTGCAAGTAACATACGGTTCAGCCACCGCACATGTTTGAATGACAACTACATTCAGACGAGGCCCGGCAACACATTTCGAAGTAATCGTAGAACAAGTTCTATCAATAAGGTAAATGCATCATGAATCGACCGCGTCGAAAAACATTTTTAGAATCCATCAAATACGAAGGGAGGCGCTCATGTCCCTTTTCTCGTGTACGCGTTTGTGCCGCGCTGCACGTTTACCCTACATAAGCATGCGCATGGGGATGGGATGGGGCACGTGGAGGGACTCATGCAGCCTCTCCCCCCCCCCCCTACTTACTAGGACGGGGGGGGGGTGCAAAGCAAGCCCCATCTAGCCTCATACAGGGGAACCCTTAGCACGCTTATGCCACAATATGATAACATACCAACTCTCCCAGATCGCCGTGTTAACAGTCGCACGCTTCACAGTTACCCTGCAACGTTTTTCCAGCATGGCCATAAAAGGCCATCGATCGGTGGTCGAGGCATCTTAGAACGTGTGAGTAAAACATTATGGTGCAGCAGTGGGCCTGGGATTCACAATTATTTTAAAGTCAACTGGAAATCACTACGCAACAAACGATGCCATAAACAAGAATGACCGCGCCATAATCAAAACATATTATCACTGTCTGAGCAACGTGAGCTCTGTAGGGCCACTGAAGGACGCAGTGACGTAGCCACACACTTTATCGCGATCGCACTCAAGATAACAGCCACTCATTCCAAGAGAAAAAAAACGGTAAAGAAGCTCTGCGTGTCATCATGGCCACTCACTTTCAGTGGCATTGCGAGCAAGCTCGTGGGCACGTCGCGACATTCGTCAGCGGCTACGGTAATTATGCAGTTAATCACGCTTAGATATACCAGTAACTGTGGACTGGAATTTTTAACGTGGTCACTTATGGCAGTATCATTGGTCCCGAGAATAGCGACCGATTCCTAGGTGCCTCAAGAATACTTGTCAATTCTACATCGCTTGCTCCGCTTTATTCTTGGCTCACACGTTCTCTGGAACCTCGGTTACCGATTGGCACAGTT